AAATATTGATCCATGACACTCAATCATTTTTTCCATGCTATCAGTAACTCAAACAGGCAATATCATTTTGACAAACTCATTCTCCTTCCACTTTTGCCCATTTCATCCTTCATGAATATATTAAAAATAATTTTAATATTCTAATTATGTGACTCATCCTACCAGGTTTCAGTAATACCAGCTAGAGCAAATGTATTCTAAAAATGAGCAATTTCAATTCCTCTTGTTTGTTACCAAAGCTCCTAGCATTAGTGTATCATTTAAAGAATTTCTTCTTGTCCTTTTGTTCCTTGATTAATTTTGTTCTCAACATCTCAGTTTTGCGCTAAGATATTATTTTTTTCTTTTCTCTTTACTCTTCTCATTGCTATTAGTTTAACCTCTTCCTTACTACTCTAGTTAGCCTATATCCCCCAGGAGATTGGTCTCTCTTCTAGGCTATGTCTAGGCTACTTTTTTTTGGAAAAAGGTATGCAAAATGTACTCCACAATTTGTGTACCTTTTTCTAATTTTTTTCCCGCCTCCTGTTCATAACAGACATCTCACCAATACCAGATTCTACAGGCCTCTCTCCTTGACCTCACTAAGGAATACCGAAAAAACTGCTCATGAAACTCCCTGATGCAGCTCAGGAACAAATTTACATTAACACCCCCTCCCCCTGCCCCCAATCCCCGACCAGGAACTTTCTATCTGCTACCCAAAATACATAAACCTGGTAATCCCGGATAGCCCATCATCTCAAGCATTGGCACACTCACCACAGGATTATCTGTCTCTGTCAACTCCCTCCTCAGACCCTATGCTACCAGCACTCCTAGCTACCTCTGCGAGACCACTGACTTGCTGAGGAAGCTTCAAAACATCAGTAATCTTCCTGAAAATACCATCCTGGCCACCATGGATGTAGAAGCCCTTTACACCAATATTCCACATGAAGACGGATTATGGGCCATCAAGAACACCATCCTTGATAACAAAACTGCACACCTGATTATAGAGCTCTGTGTCTTTGTCCTCATCCACAACTACTTCCAATTCAGAGACAATTTCTATCTCCAAGTCAGCGGCACAGCCATGGGCACTTGCATGGTACCACAATATGCCAACATCTTTATGGCTGACCTTTAACAACATTTTCTCAGCTCCCACCCCCTAACACCGCTACTTTACTTATGCTACATTGATGACACTTCGAAAGATCTCCAAGTAGCTGTCTTGTCACAAACCAGTTCTGCAAGCCAGATCCACAGGGAAGCATTGAAATTAGAGTTCATCCGCAAATTCAATTCATATGCTAATGGACTCAGTTGTGATGAAAGTTGGTTGGGACACTACCAATTGAACAACCATTGAAGATGCAAACAGCTCTCTGTGTTGTATCCTTCCTGACATGGGAGTCTATCAATTGACTTTGATTTTTATCTGCTTCGGTTTAACTATCCAAACTTCATATACTTACTGATGCTCTTTCTCCCACTTCCCTTCTTTTTTTCCCTCCCCCCTCCGCTTCCCCTCTCCTATTTATTTCGGGTATACATATCCCAAACTCATAACTCGGGTCATCTGAAGAAGTGGGCTATGCCCACAAAAGCTCACGATACCATCTACATGTTTTGTTAGTCTATAAAGTGCTACCAGACCATTTGTTGTTTTTTTTCTGTAACAGACTAACTTATCTACCCCCTGAAATTACTTATGTAGGCAGTAATTTTATGCCTTCTGTCTTTGCTCATGAGACAGAAAGATCTCAGATTAGCTTCATTTTTAGAATCAGTCACTAATTCTTTGTACCTGAATTTTTAAGTGGCCTGCTTGAGACAGATAAGCTACAGTTCCTGAGGCCTCTGAAAATCAGACGTAAGGCAGCAACTAGGCACTCAAATATTGAGGGACACAAAACAGTAACATACTTCTGAAAATTTTGGCCTAAATCATTGTCTTTCTTTATTCATCTGTATAATAGAGGTGATGTTTTACCAAATCTGTTGAGTACATTAAAGATTATGTAGTGTTTACTGTTTGTTTTTAAAATGAACAAGGCCAGAGCACTAACTGGAAAATAAAAAGGTACTTTATTCCCTCACATATCAACAACATTTTTCAAACTATCAATAGCTATGTGCTAGTGAAGATGCATACACTTGCTTCATTTGGATTCTGGAGTGCACCACGTAAAATGCTCTTTAAAAAATTAATAACATTCAGCACTTTAGATTTCAATTATTTTTAAATTTTGACATTAAAAATTGTTACCTTGTAAACTGATTGCCATGTACTATTTCCATTTATTATCTAATGAAGATTTAAAAAGGAAAAAAAACCTTCTTTTAGTATCTGTACATACTTGGTGTGCATGAACATGTATTTGGCATCTTATGGTCAGCTTGGTGTCTGTTGGGGTTTTGTGTGCACCCACATGTCTTTGTGTTCCCCCTCCCAAGGGTAAAAAGGACTCAGTGACCCTGATAGCCACTCAGTTCTTTCTTATTGCCTATTAAAGCAAGTCAGATTACCATCAGTGTCCTTGTAGTTACACTTTTTACACAGTAATTACAGTAGCAATTGTATTTTAATTTCCCTTGCTATTTTTAGTGATCTTGGGTCATATCTATACCTCATTACATTTACATAAAGCTGCCACAGTTAATGTATCATTTGTGTGCATACTTGGCTCCTTGCACTAGCACTGTTTATCCTCACTAGGGCTACGTTTACACCACAGGCTTCTTTCGAAAGAAGCTTTTCTGGAAGAGATCTTCCGAAAAAACTTCTTCCAAAAGAGCGCGTCCACACTGTGAAAACGCATCAAAAAAGCGATCTGCTTTTTCAAAAGATAACATCCACACTAAATGGACGTTATCTCGCATTTAAGCTGTGATTACTATGGGCGGAGTGGCCACCAGGGCACCTGTGCTTTTTCCTTTTTCCTCTCCTTTCGAAAGAACTCCCTCTTCCCTGTCCACATATGCCTTTTTCCAAAAGAGTTCTTTTGGAAGGGTTCTTCCTTGTAGAAGGCGGTTTACCTGTGTTCTTTTGATTTTTTTTCGAAAGAATGCGATTGCAGTGTGGATGTAAATGAAGTTTTTTTCGGAAAAATGGCTGTTTTTCCAAAAAAACACTGTAGTGTAAACATAGCCTCGGAGAGCTTGTGTTGATGAGTAGTGCACTATGAGTAGTTTATCTGAGTGTACAACTCACCATTGTCTGGCACACTGTCTTTTGGGAAATGTTGACAAGGAACGATGGGACAGAAACAATCCATGCAGGAGTAACTGGAAGCAAGGGGTCAGTTTCCCATTATACAATTTTTCTATCCCATAATGCCATCCATATCCCATAATATTCATGCTTTTAAAATATTTGCATATGTATCACATAGTATAGTGTTGCTATATCATCATAAGCAGGCACTTAAGTTAGTGGAAGATAAATATGAGTGTAGACACATGCATAGTTAGGTCAATACAAGACAACTTAAGTTGACCTAACTTTATAGTGCATACCAGGCCTTAGCCTGTTGGCAAACAACACAAACAAGCTTGTTTCATACTAGTGCTGGGACTCTGAGCCTCATGGCTGGATCAAAGGCTGCAAGCTGGAAAACATGAGCTGTTGGTTCTGAAGTTTCCCTGAGGGAAGAAGTTCCTTATATTTCTTTAAATTCTCACTCAGTTCTCTATCCTTGATAAATGTTACTTCAGGGTTTCCAGGAATCAGACAAGAACTCAGCGAAGAACTCAAAGACTTCATCTCAAACACCTCACACTGGACCTCACACTTAGTCTCATTAACATAGGTCTGACAACTGATAGGTACTTCTAATGCTGTTATATATATATCTTGGTTTCTGTTATTACCACTCCAATTCCTCTGATGAAGTGGGTTTTGCCCACAAAAGCTCATGATTCTTATATATTTTGGTTAATCTCCAAAGTACCTTAGAACCACTCATTATGGCTATATCTAGACTGCAAGCCTCTTTCGAAAGAGCCTCTTTCGAAAGAGAGCGTCTAGACTGCACGCGGAATTTCGAAAAAGCAAGCCGCTTTTTCGAAAGAAAGCACCCAGTGAGTCTGGATGCTCTCTTTCTAAAAAGCCTGTTTGCTTTCAAGAACGCCTTCTTTCAAAAGAGCACTTTCGAAAGAAGGCATTCTTCCTCGTGGAATTAGGTTTACCACCGTCAAAAGAAAAGCCGCATTCTTTCGATTTAATTTCGAAAGAACACGGCTGCAGTCTAGACGCAGGTGAAGTTTTTTCGAATAAAGGCTACTTTTTTCGAAAAAACCCCTGAGTCTGGACACAGCCTATTTGTAAAGTTACAGACTAACACAGCAACCCCTCTGAGATTTTTTACATTAGCAAGATGACTTCACCGTCTCGTGTTAGATTTCATTCTTCCAAAATACAGACGACCTTAACAGCTTAATTTAGTGCTCCGAGAGATGACATGTGGAGCAACTACTTCGAATTCAGTTGATATGTTCACCAGCCACTATAAATTGATGTCTGGTGTCAGAGCCGATGCCAAATTTGTTTGGATTATACTGCAATCATTATTTATATCCTGCCTCCTAGACAAGTTAGGAATTAAACTGCTAGCTCATGACCATGATTGGGATATGCACATACAGACACTCAAAGAAGAAAGAAGGTTTATTTTACAGTAACTGATTCTTTGAGATGTTCTGTACCTGTGGATCCCATGACTTGTTCCCCTTCCCTGCAGTCTGGAGTCTCATTTGGATGCTTGGCGATGAAACACCTGAATAGTGATTGGGGTCCCTCCATTCTTTCGGCTCTTGGGTGGAGGAGCGCAGAAGAATAGACAACCCCAATGGACACTGCTGGTCAAAAAATTCTGAACTCTTATTCATGCAGGGCATGTGCAGAAAGAATGATCCATGTGTATATAACATCCCAAAGAATCACAGTTACTATAAGGTGAGTAAACCATTCGTTCCTAGCTGATTAAACTATTTCTTTTTTTCCCCTCCAGGAAATCCAGAACGTGATAAAATAATTCGTATGTATTACAATTCTGCACTTATTACTTGAAGTTTAATTTTTTAAAAGCATGTTGTGCCCAATAAGAATTTATGTTTGTATGCTTGTTTATAGGTTACACAAGATGGTATCCACCCTGGGAGAACAGGATTGTATGTGATGAGTCCTGTATTGCAGTTGTGGTTTTAAGACCACTGCTGATGTTACTGGCTTTTATTACTGTTTTTCTTATGCAGAAGCATTATTCAAGTATGAGTATATCTAAATAATCTATTTGAAATATATATTTCAGGAAAAGTTATGACAAGTCCCATAATGATTAACATATCACCACTACCTCTTGATTGAGCGAATTATTTTGATTGATGTTTTTACAATGAATTTGATTATTTAATATATTATAAAGTGTTATCATATGTTTAATGGGTTATAAAAATAAATTATTTTTGCTCTAAGCCCTTACATATTGTATTTATAAATGAAGATAATTATATTGCATTAAAGATATGAAAAATAATAAAAAGGCAAACATTTAAGTTAAAGGTCTGGCAAAAGTCTGAGAGAAAACTTATTTCATCATTGAAAAACCATTTATATCATCAAATAAAGAGGAACACCTGGCTTCTAGAGTTCAATAAATAAATGAAAACAGTGTGTCCACTTTATAGTGAGGCAAATATTAAATATTTAAAGTGTTAACTACCTAATTTAGATGTTTCTCTAAAAATCTTACAAGACCCAATCCTATTTTTCTGGAAGCAGGTCAAAACTCCAAGTTAAATGGAAACGGGTAAATATCACTTCTATAAAAAGAAAAACATTCTATGAACTAGCCAATTAGCCCGTCATAAGACGGGATTTTCAGGTCTCTCCTACACATCGGTCTTCTCTCCTGATCCTCCAGTCTCTTGCTCCGTCTCTCTCTCTCTCTTTCCTCCTCCTACTGCCTCCCCCTCCCCCTCTCTCAGCTCTCCTCCACCTTCTGCCTCTCTCTCCGTCTCTTTCTTTCTCTTCTTCCCCTCCTGCCTCTCACTCTCTCTCCACTCTCCTCTGTCTCCATCATAGATGCATCCTTGTCCAGGCCCTGCCCCCTCGATGTGTACATCACTGCCCTACCCCTCTTCACCTCCCGCCATGGCTCTCAGCTGAGTTCTGCGCTGCTCAGCCAGGCCACTGTGGGGGAGCAAGAGGAGCGAGTGACCATTTGGGCTTCCCCATGACGGCCCGGCTGAGTGGCGCAGAACTGATCTGAGTGCCACAGCGGGAGGAAAATGGGGGGTACGAAGAGGGGCGTGAAGAAGGGCAGGGCCCAGCTGTGTACATTACCGCCCCACCCCCGCTTCCCCTTCCGCCATGGCGCTTGGCTGACTTCTGCGCCGCTCAGCCAGGCTGCCGCAGGGGAGCAAGCAGCACAAGTGGCCGTTTGGGCCTCGAACTCCCCATGCATCATGGGAGTGCTGCATTGGGAAGCAACAGCACCCCCTAGAGGCAAGATGTAACGCTAGCGCATTACAGAGTCACAGACATTGGGCTACTATATATATGATATTCAAAAGTATTAATATATACTTTTTTTCCTAGACCTATAAATTTGTGAATGCCAGCTATTCATTAAGGTTTCAACTATTAAAAATAATTATCCTTCAATCAATTTGTTCACAACTTATTTTGAACTTGAGAAAAATATACAATGCTCCAGTTCAGATTTTTCTTGTAGTTCCTAGTTTGCATCACAACAAACCATTTTTATTTAAATATGGATCTTGTGTCTGTTTTTTATTATAAAACAAATACACAATTTTATTTGAAAGCTATTACAATACCTCTGATAAATATATGGTTACCAGTTGTGCCTATTGGAGTCCAGGAGGTAGACTCCTGGCATTAGCCCACCCACATCTAAAGGACCTCCCCCCAGCCTACGAGGAGGGTCCACAAAGCCCAGAAAGCCAACTGATTACTTGGAACAAATAAAGACAAAATAGTGATGGGTGTGAGGGTCAAAGGGCTGAAACAAGGGAACCAGATGGGGAAACCAAGCAGAGAATCCCGGACAGCACCCAATGCCCCTCGAAGGTCTCAAGAGAGCCAGCGGACGCTGCCCAGTGGAATTCTGCCCGGATGCATGAGCGGATGCAAGAACGGAAATAGGCCCCACAATTGCAGGCCTCTCCCTCGATCAACCTCTGCTCCCTGATTTTATAAATTACTGTCTTGGTAATGTCAGGAGGAGGTTGACGAGGAGGTCCCGCGACTTTGTGGGGTCGCAGATGGGGTGTGCATAGATTAGTAGGCGAGAGGAGAAGTGCAGCCAGAACCTCAACAAGGCTGTGTCTAGACTACATGCCTCTGTTGTCAGAGGCATGTAGATTAGACACATAGACAAAGGCAAATGAAGCCGCGATTTAAATGATCATGGCTTCATTTAAATTTACATGGCTGCCGCGCTGAGCGGACAAACAGCTGATCAGCTGTTTGTCGGCTCAGCGCGGCAGCCATGTAAATTTAAATGAAGCTGTGATCATTTAAATCGCGGCTTCATTTGCCTTTGCCTATGTGTCTAATCTACATGCCTCTGACGACAGAGGCATGTAGTCTAGACACAGCCCAAGAGATTCTGTAGGAGCCAAAAGAGGGGCTGTAACCTGGTGCACTTGAGGTAGAGGTGTGCCAAGGTCTCCCTCTTACCACAGAAGGGGCAGGTGTTGGGAATGGGGGTGAACCATGCCAAGTATACACCCATACTCACAGCGCCATGGAGGGTTCTCCAGCTCATGTCCCCGGCAGGCAGTGGAACTAAGGTGGAATAGGGACTGGCCCACTGGGTCTCTCCATCCTCTATTGGTGGTAGGAGGTCCTGCCACTTGGTATCTGGGCAGGATACGAGTTTGGGGAAGTGGAGTATGTGAAGCATGAGTGGGTACAGATGGCTCTTTGGCATGGTTCAGAAGGGAACTGGCTGCAACATGTACAGTCAGCTCGGGTGACAAGGGGGAGTCGGTTGGGAAGGTACATGGGCCTGAGGGCCAATGGAGAGATCAGGAGGGCCAGGGGTGAGGAGTGGATGGGATACACCCTCTCACAGGACCTTGTCAAGATGAACCCAAGGAGTGAGCGGCAAAGCGTACTTCACCTCCTGAAGCATGCGCTGAGGAATAGGTACGTAGGGTGGAGAGCCCCATGCACTAGGTGAGAGCCAGAGGATCCACTCAGTCTCCCCGGGCATAGCCCAGGAGGTCTCTGATCCTGGTGACTTCTGCCAGGATCAACCTCTGGCACACTGAGAAGGATTCCACTGCCTGCACACAAAGATGGGAGTAATGTAGCAGGGGCTCCATGAGAAGGTCTGCCCCCTCGGTGGCTCCCAAGGACCTGGTCGCCGAAAACAGCTTCCAGGTCCAGAGGAGGTCCTGATAGAAGGCTGGCAGCTTGGAGAGATCACATGGAAGATCTCTCAAATTAAGGAGCTGCTGGTCATATCAGAGCCCTCAGAGGCTGCAAAGCAAAGCGTGTGCCAGTGTGCTGCACGCCGGACTACCTGCATCATATAGGAGCCTCTGCAGGGCCTGGAGGCAAGAGAAAATGGACCCATGTGTGCAAACATGTCAGGCCCTGCCCTCCCTCCTCCAGGGGAAGATGGAGGACCCCTGTGGAGACCCAATGGAGTCCTGGCCAAAAGAACCACAACATCAGCTGCTGGATCTGAGCTAGAAAACCCAGGGTCAGGACCAGATTGTGGGCTGAACAGGCGTCTCAGGGATCTAGGAGTTGGATTGACTCTGTCACTGTATTTTATCCAAGAGACAAGGCATTAAAGATTCCTATATATTAACTTGAATTGCTACAAATGAGCATATGTATTGATGCAAGCATTTTAAATATTTTTTTCTTTTGCTATGTAAATTTTATAGTCAAGATTGGCCCAATATGTTTAATGTTTACTGAAAGCTTGTTTAAACAACAAGCTTGTTTAAACAATAAATAAACACTTAGTTTGTAGCAAGACTACTGCACACTCAGGCTATGTCTAGACTGCACTGTTAAATCAGAAAAAGATATGCAAAATTTCCAGAAAAAAAGTGCTCTTTCAAGCCATCCCTTATTCCTCATAGAACGAGGTTTACGTGGATGGCCAAAGATCACATCCTTTCCTTTGAATTTTTTTTCAGGATTCTGAAAAATGTACCCTAAATGTTCATGAGGACCATGCTGGTACGCATTAGCAGTTCTGCAGTGCAATTTAATCTGCTCTGCTTTTAAATAGCAGTAGATTAAAGTCACTACACATTTTTTTGTGCACAGCAGCAAAGTCCACACAAATAATGTGCAGCAGGTTAGCATGGGGAAAATTTACACACCAGCTGTTCATGGTAAATTAAAGTCTTTGTGTAAACAAAGATTCTACTTATTTAAAGCCATTCTAGTCTGTATGGTAAAATACGTAACTTTTTACAAAATATGTATTATCTCACGAATCTTCATTAATGCAAAAGGGTTATTGATATTGTTTGATGGGGTGAGGAGGTTTAAGCACAAGGTCAAATCCTGTCGTGTTTTCATACCTAGAGCTCAAGATGAAGTTAGTGGGACCTTCACAGATGTTCATTTTATGGAACAGTTGGCCCACAATACCTTTATATATTCCCTTGTAGTTCAGAAACATTATACTTGGCCTATAAAACTATATTCAGAATTGTATTAATTCGTTGTATAGAATATTCCATAGTAAAAATGAATCTATTATAAAACCTTATTTTAAAACATTTATTGGACATAAATTATAAATAATTACAATTTACATATTTCAAAATTAAAACTACCAAAAGGGTTGTTAATTTTAATCTTGGGCCAAAATGTTCACAAATGGGTGCCTAAAGTTGTGCATGTAAAACCATAATTGTGTACCTAAATAAAAATTACTCAATATTCAAAGTTGCTCAACATCTGTTGTTCCCAGTGACTTCAGTAAGCTTCACATACTCACACATTTGAAAATGAGGTTACTTATTTAGGTGCTTTAAATATAACCTTAAAAGGCTAATTTTGTAAATCCTTAATCCCTAGCATGCAACAGTTTATATTTGTAATAAAACTGTTTTAAAGTTTTAAACTTCCTGTTTAATGTTATTGCATAATTCTAAGGCATCGCCCTTTTCTACAAGCAAAAAAGCAAATCAACAAATAACCATTAATATTCAAACATTACTCAACATAGGATTTCCTGGTTGTGGAAGTTAATACAATTATACCTTCTCAAACCTCCAGGGGGAACTCCATCTTCACTTACTTGCTCCCTGGAACAAAATCTGAGAATCTACTTATCTCATATGGTTTTTTTAAAACAAAATAAACTAGTTTGAGAGCAAAGGAGTGAGGGAGAATATCTGTGGTCTTCTAATGTGTACAGACATCCTCAGCATATATTGGCTATACTTCTACCAGTGTGGTTTGAGATCCATAAACCTTAAGGACTCAAAGCACAGCTTAAAAGAGTTTGAGATTTGCTACACATTTCTTGTAGAGCTCTAGTTACTAAGTCTTAAATGAAAACATGTGAATCAGAATTGCTTAACCAATAATGATTAGGAAACTACTTTATCATCAATTCCTATACAATGGGTAAATTTTCTGTATATAAGAAGCTCATTTTTCACACCTCAGATGCTGAGCCTGTAAGTGTTTAGTTATTTTCAACTAAATTGTTTCTTTGTTAGTGTAGATAAAGAATGAGATTAGAAGATGCCCATAGGCTTATCATAATGAGGATTGGGATATGATATGCTTTACATAATGGAGAAGTATCAGCTAACAAATGGAGACATAAGATTGTGACAATCATTCATGGTCAGTTCAAATTAGGGATGCTAGCATGTAACCATTTGAGTGATTAACTGATAAACCTGGGCTCATTGGTTAATCCTAATGGTTACTTGCACCCCCATGCTGCCTTCCACAGAGACATGATGCCGCCCACTGAGCCAACTGCCTCTTGATTCTGCTACCTCTGTACACAGTCATCACACTTCCCCCATCAGGCTATGTCTACACAGCAGCGTAACTAACGTTATTCCAAAATAGCATAGTCTGTGTCTACACACAAGCAGTTATTTCAACATAATGTCAAAATAATTTCCAGCTAGTGGACTTCTTACTCCAATTCCTGTAACTCTCATGTTGCCAGAATTAAGGGAAGCCAGAAGAAGAGTGCTCTTTCTTGGACTTCCTGCTGCGTAGACAGCACCAACAGCTGAAATAAGCTATTTCGACTTAAGCTATGCAAGTGATGTAGCTCAAGTTGTGTAGCTTATTTTGGATTTAGCCCTGCTGCGTAGATGTGCCCTCAGTGACCACCTCCTTTCTTTGGAGTTTAGAACCTCTGGCAGTGTGTGCAGGAGACCCATTTTCAAGGTTGCAACCATCAGTGTGTCTCATCAGACAATTCTGCAGTAGTCTGGGTAGTTCACTTGGGGTTTCTCAGAACTCAGGGTCTCTGGTCTCCAGAAAAGCTCTTGTTACACATCAGCCTCAAGGAACTCAAGGTGGTTTGCTTGGCCTGCCAGGTGTTCCAGCTCCATGTGGTGGGCAAGTGCATGTCAGTTCTCACAGACAACAGAACACAGATGTTCTATATCAACAGGCAGAGTTGAGCAAGTTTCTCTCACCTGTGCCAGAAAACACTTCACTTATAGGAATTCTCCATAGGCCATTCACTCAGTTTGTAAGGCTCCTCTTTCCTGGGGCTGCAGAATGAACTAACAGATCCTTCCAACCATCACATGTTGTCCATCCATCCAGATGATGTGAAAGGCATTTTCCAGAAGTTGGGAGGACTCACCAGAGACATCTATTCAGGACAAAGAGCAACAAAAACTGTTTCCAGTTCTGCTTCTTTCTGAATCACAGCCGGAGTCACTCACAGATGCCTTTCTCATTGAATAGGCCATCTTTTCTACATGTGTGGAATATCGCCGAGCCTCATTTGCATACCTAGTGAGCTGCCATTTTTGCAGAAGAGGCTCTTGTGCCAGAAGGAGCTGTCTACACTGCCCCTTCTTGCACAAGAAAAACCCTCTTGCGCAATGCTGCTGCGCTGATTATTTTCAGGAATAATGGCATTGCGTAAGAAAGGGCAGTGTAGACAGTTCCTTCTGGCTCAAGAGCCTCTTCTGCAAAAGTGGCAGCTCATTAGGTATGCAAATGAGGCGTGGCAATATTCCACACTTAGCCTCATGTGCCTATTTCTCGCGGAAGAAGCCATGAGTGTAGACATAGCCCTGGAGGAGAGGTAGACCTCATTGATTTTCAGAGGTTAGCAGATGTAGGAATCCTATCCATGTTTCCTCATGTGTTAAAGATGTGATGTGAGCTCTTGTAGGAGGGAATTTAACTATGGTCTCATAAATGTAAGGCATCCTCTAAAGTACGTTACTTCATTTTTTAAAAAGTTAAGCAACACCTATATGCTGAAACAATTCACTTCCTGTCCCTATCATACCTTCAAATAGCAACAGGATTTCATCTTAGGAAACTGACAAGAGAGACCTCAGAGTGAAACTGCATCCCCAGATAAACAGCACCATACGCGACTAAGAGATTCTTCCAAAATTTTGAGAGAGATCAAAAACAGTTGAGAATCATGAAAGTCAGACTGTGCCTTGCTGTTCAGTTATTTCTAGATCTTTTCAGTTCCTGTTATTCTTACACTTTGCCTGGTATAGAAGATACACAGTTTATCCAGGACTGTGTGAATGCTCATAACAACTTTCGGTCCCAGGTGAATCCACCAGCCAGCAACATGCTTCACATGGTAAGGAAATCTTCACTATTTTAATTGGATTCAGGGCCTGATTAATGCAGGGGCTGTAGGGACTGCAGGCCAGTGCTCCAGGCTAATGGAGACTGCAAAAAGATCTCTAGGCCACCAAAAGTCCAGATGCTTTTGAGGGTTCCCCTTAGCTCGGGGGCCTGGGCTGCTTCTCCTAATGTCCATATGATGCTGCATTAATCCACTGGGCTGACAAGGGCATGGGAGGCAGCAGCATGCAGCAATAGGGAGGGGGGGGGTTGAAGGGAAAGCTCAGTCCATGCACTGCTCTGCCCTCACCTGCAGATGCCACTCCCACAGCTCCCACTGGCTGTGAATCATGGAAACTAGAGCTGCAGGAGTGGTTCCTGCAGGTTAGGGCAGCTCCCGGAGCCACCAAATTGGAGATGCCAGAGGTAAGCACCCCACATTCCAACTCAGCCCCCTCCATTACCCAAACTTAGGGTTGCCAGGTGTCTGGTTTTGAAACAGACAGTCCAGTATTTGAACTTTCTGTTCAGGAAACAAATTGGGAAAATATAAATGTCAGGTATTTTCTAAATAAGGTGTAATATAGATTGTGATGTAATGTCAAGGGTGTCCCATATTTTTGTTGAAACCATCTGGTAATCCTACCCAAACTCCTGCCTTGAGCCCCATTCTGCACCCTAACTTCCTCCCAGACACTCCCCCCCTGCTGTCCTGAGCCTGCTTCCACACTCCAAGCCCCTTGGCCCCAGCCTGGATCCCCCCCCCTTCCACCCCAAACCCTTCATCCCCAGCCCAATCCAACAGCTGTGCCCCTCCCACCCCCACTACACACCAACCCTCTGGCCCAGCCTGGAGACTTCTTCCACACTCTGAGCCCCTCCCCACATCCTATATCCTATGTGAAGCCCTGAGCCTTCTCCCCACACACACATAACCATTTTGTTTTAAAATTGGGAAAAAAAACTTGTATATTGGGGCCCCACTAAAGTGAATTGCCCTAGACCTGATCCAGAGCTAATCCAGGCCTGATTGGATTGTACTTTTGAATTAACACATTAGCCTTGTACTTTTCTCTCTAGTTCTGTGAATATTTTAACTACTCCAGTTGTTAGTACTTCATAGTAAATACAAAAGAACAAAGCAGTTAATGATTACAACTGGGTAAAGACTTATTCCGTCTTCCCATTTGGAAGGGTGGATTGACAATTTGTAGTGCTGCCTGAGTCGGAGCAACGCACTGCTGTGCTGCTTCAGGAGAAAGGTAGGCACCAAATAGATTCTGAGTGCCATTATAATACAGGCACAATTTACTTTCCCTCCTGTCCTTCCTCTGGTATGCTGGACAGCATAGTAAAGGATCAAAATGAAGATTTTTCCCATTTTTTGCTTCTGCCCAACCAGTCCTCTTCCTCATGACAGAAGCAATTGTCCCATCATAGCAATGCCCACAGTCTGAAGAGAGGACAGCTTGTGCAGGAAAGTAAAGGGTATGACCTCTACTCTCTGTGCAGGTGGACAGCTGAACTCAGGACTGAGCCCTCAGTGTTTAAAGGTTCCTTAAACAAGTTCAGTTATGGAGGGCAGAGTTTGCAATGTGTTGCATTTTCAATTCCTCTCATTCAAAAGGTCATAGTTTGACAGCTCTGCATGAAGTTTGTAACTACTCAAAAACAGCAGAGATTGCCAGCACCTTAAAGCAGGCAGAAATGGCCTCTTACAACCAGCCCCTCCACAGAGGGCCTTTTTAACCATTGAAAAGCTGGCACAGGGGCTCTGTAATAGTCTAGCACCTTCTGTCAGGAAATGGATCCAGGTGTGTCAAGGATGCAGTCAGACTGCACTATGGTATAGTTTCTCAGCTTCACCAGGCTCACATCAGCCTTATCTTGCCAAGGTGTGGTGAACATTAGAATATTAAGTCTCGTCTGCACAGCACTAGAACTGGTACTAGTTAACAACTACTGGAGCCCCATCAGAGATTAGGTAATGCATTGTATGTTCACAGCCTAAACTGTCTACTGTGGAGTAAGTAATAGAACCTATGCCAAGTCTGGTGTGAACCAAGTAACCAGAAGCATGTGTTGCTCAGCTCTGGATTTACCATATATCCCATGCACATCTAAGATGATGTGACTGCAGTATTTCATTCATTAGTCCAGCTTCTCTGCTTTGTGGTACAAAGACGACCTAAAACCAAAGGAGCTGAGCCCACCTCGGATAATCGCTTCTTCTGTGCAGATGTTCCTGAGATAGAGTGGATATATTGCCACTATAGATGGTGTGGTTGGGAGAAGGCTGTTAGTAGCAACATTTGAGCTGAAAAGCTGAGATCTATAAATACAGCTACTATTAAACTAGCTACTGGTTCAATACTAGATTGCTCAGTAGGTTACTAATCAAATCAGAGAAATGGCCAAGATTAGTTTGACCATTGTTAATAGACCTTTGTCTATCAGGAAAAAAAAAACATTTGTGTGTAGTTTTTCACCCCAGAGAAACTTTAATATATTAGTTTAGGGTACAAACTCAGGCCAGCCAAAAGGGACAATATTAGCGGGCACATTCTTACTTGGAAGCCACACAAGCCATGACCTAACATCAAAGGAATTTCCATGCACAAACTGCAGGCAAAACATGAGTGTGACGGTGGCCTTCAGACGTGCTGCCTAAGGACTGAGTGCACACCAATGTAAAATGTGCATTTCTTGCCCTTTTCTTTGTTTAAATAATGTTTATGGCCCAGAATGCAAGTGCTGTCTCTGCAGCCATGCAAGGTTGAGCAAGAAAGGTTTCACCCACCTGTGTGAGTGTGCATGGCCCATTAATAATAGCAATCCCTGCACTCTGGGGAATTAAGGAGGGCAGAGACAGGTAGGTATGGCTACAGCACCACTACTACCAGCACTGATCAGCAGAGCAGAGTCTATGTCAGTCGAATGACTGATGAAAAACATGCATGCCTGTGCAGAGAAAGTAGAATGTTTGCAGAGCTCATCTTGGACTAACTGGCATCATCCTAGGTCTTAGTGGCTCAATGCCATGATCCAGTCTTACATATTTAATGGACTGCATCTCAGAGATGAGTGCACAAATATTAAATAGCTTACAATACATAAAGGGAAGGAGGAAAAGAGTGGATTTTGTAGATAAAGTGAACAAATGATAGGATTTTAGGAAAGACTGGATGTAGGGCAGGAAGACAAGCAGAGAAGAGTCCAAGATTACATGTCTTGGAGGCAGGAAGGATTAAGAGAAAAGTTTCTGTTAAACAAGTTTGAGTTTGTATAAGTAATTGCATTTTAAGTAATTTTCATGTCTTTTTCATCCTACAGACCTGGGACTCTGCTTTAGCTAAGACTGCCAAAGCCTGGGCAAAGCGGTGCATCTTTGATCATAATGTCTATCTTAAAATACCTGGAAAAGTACACCCTGATTTTACTCCAGTTGGAGAAAACATTTGGACTGGCTCTCTCTCTCTCTTTTCTGTGAATGCAGCTCTCAAGAGTTGGTATGATGAAGTCACAAACTACAATTTTGAGACTCGCAATTGTATTGGAAAATGTGGCCATTACACTCAGGTGATTCTTGTTTTTCTATCTTGATTTCAAACCATTAGTGGTCTTTGTAAAGAACAAGGCAGACATGCATTTTGCCCTTCCACATGTTCTAAGTTGTAATCTAAGTCACTTACAAAATTTACAAGTGTGGGTTAGGAGAACTTTGTGCTAAAAGAAAAAGGGACAAAGGAGGGTGCTGTGCAGCAAGAGACTTATTGGCCTTGGTTTGGAGACATAGCACCCACATGCAGCTATTCCTGGGCCTTTGGGAGAGAACCATGAGATGTCTGCTTCTGGCATTGAACCTGCCACAAAGGGAGAAGGAGGCATGCCCTGACAGTCTGATCTGGGGAGAACTTAGTGAGAGGATATTTAGATTTTTCTCCCCTGTCCTCGCAAGCCCTGAGAATTTTTCTGCAGAAGGGGGAGGATCTGAGCCTAAGAAAGAGAATGTCTGATTCCAACATTACACAATCACAAGTCAAATAATAAATACAACAATTGTTCATCTAAATGGCTCCCTGGACTGTTGCAAAACACACTCAAGATACACACCCCTCAATTGGATTTTTCTTGTTGAACATCGTAAGTGCAGCAGGCTTTGTGTAGTCCTGGAAATGTGTGATGTACTTTGGTTTTCTTTTCAGGTTGTTTGGGCTACCAGTTACAAAGTTGGCTGTGCAGTTCACCTCTGTCCTAGTGTTACAGGTTTCAAAGGACTCACCAATGGAGCACATTTTGTTTGCAACTACGGACCAGCGTAAGTTAGTTGATATCATTTTAAAGATCCCAAAGCAGTTCCACTCTGACTGATCCACCCAGAGAGCTGTGCCCAAGCGAAACAGTTGCAATGAACCTTTGCTAAGAAGGCATGGGGAAAGGATACCTTGCCCATTGTCTCCCCTCCCCCCACAGTCTGCACAATCGCCCTTTCAAAAAATCTGATGAAGTTATGCAGATAAACAATTAAAAACTGCCCTTCAGAGGAGGAGGAATAAAGCAGTTTGAAATGCAAATTGCCAATTAGAGTTTCATTTTGTCACTCTCCATGAAGAAGTTGAGAGGCAAACAGTGTACTCATTTTAGTACAAGTTGACAAATTGCAAACTAGCCAGTGTTGCTGTTTTTCTGACATGGGTAAGCTTGACTATTTTCTAATAAAAACATACCACCTGATCACACATATGCAAGGCATGAAATGAATCTGCTCAGAAGGGATATCTTTTATATAATCAGATCCTCCAGCCAAAAAGTAGCCACAGAACTTCCTGTTCCTATTCTGCATTTCCAGTTTGAATTGTAACTCAAAATCAGTCAAAACTGGGGGAAAGAGAGCAGCTTTCCCTCATGGTAACACTGCAATTCTGCTACAGTTTCAAACCCATTGACAGAGATAGGTGGCGGGGAAGCGGGGGACTGCACCAGGGCCCAGCGATTCAAAGGGGCCTAGGGCTCCCAAGTGGAGCTCTGGGACTTTTAAATCTCTGCTGAAGAATTGTGTGGTGCTCCAGAGACCAACACAGTGTGCTCTGGACAGTGCTGGGGTGATGTGCAGTCTGGGCAGTGCTGAGGGGCCCCTGCCCAGCCCCGCCCCTTCTGCCTGAGGCCTACTCCTTCCAAGACCCTGGAAACAGCACCCCATGCCACCACCACAGTTCAGGAGCCTGGCAAGTCTGTCAACTTGCCTGTACTGCCCCCACTCAGACTTGGCAGCTATTGAAAAGTCCAACTCCAGAAATAAGATCCTTTCCATTAAAGAAATATCCTCAAGTTAGTCTTACAGAACTGTGGTATAAATTCTTTAAATAAAACAGGTTATAGTAATGCAGAACCAGATTCCCATACCCTGAAGAACACATTCATTTAAATAGGATGAGTCACATGAGTAGCCACTCCCTAATGTGAGAGGTTCATAGTCTGCACCAGAGAAACATCTAAAACAACTGATTTTATTTAAAAAAAAAACATATTTCTGGGTTAAGGGCTTTTTTACCCCAAAGTACTCTTATGTGACTATAACACTTCTTCTTCTGGGAGAATTCTGTAACAAAAATTAAAAATTCTTAAATTCTGCATATTTTATTTGTTAAAATAACAGAGTATAATCATGCTGGTTTCAATTATTTTGGTAATTTATTTAAACTACAATATACAATGGATGCATAATCGGAAGGGAGAGCATTGAAGGAAATCTCTAACCCCCATGTCTAATGTAGCTACTATTGATCGGTTACTTCTAGCTATTAGTCCGCAAATATATGCAATCATATTCTCAGTGTTACATCACAAGTAATTGAAGAATAAGTGAGGGCTGGGGACTCAAACTCACAATTTATGCTGGCTACTGACCATCTCCAGAAAGGTCAGTAGCAAACTGTTGCTGAAGCACATTATGATAGGAAATATTTTCAGTGCAAAAATTTAGACCAGGTCTAATCACTAGAGCAACATAAGCATTTATAACGGGGCTACTCAACTTTGGAAGCCCCGGGGGCCACAATGATACTCACGGCACATGGCAAGGGCCACGACTTAAGTGTGGTTGCATATATTTGCAAATATATATGCAAATAACTTCTTTCACAAAATGCCCTGGTGCTCCCGGCACCTCCTCGGGGGGTTAGAAACGCTGACACCCTATGCCCATCTGTTCCAGCCAGCCCATCCACTTACATCTTTCAGTGCTCATTCCACCTGGGAGACACCTCGCTGTTGTGGAACATGTTCCTAGTGGAGGCCATTTTCAAAGGATCCCACCCGCGGGCCACGTATTGAGCCCTGCGTAAACCCAAATCACACTACATACTTCAAACAAACAGGCCACGGGCCATGTGTGGCCCGTGGGCTGCATGTCAAGTAGCCCTGGTTCATAAGGTCATATTGTCCTATACAAAAAGACTCCTTTGCACCACACTGGAAATATAAAGAAGCCTTAAAATTTTTACACCTGTTTTATACTCTTGAGAAAACAAGGACAAAAACAATGGGAAAAATTCACTAAGGAGGCTATTACATTCTGTTCTGCATGAGGGGACAGAGCCTGCAACACATCTACCTCCTCAGAAATATCCTATAGCCCAGCCCTACCACATTAAGCATGCTCCAATAATGAGTGAGAAGGACAATGTGTGTGTGTGTGTGTGTGTGTGTGTGTCTCTCTCTCTTTCACACACTCACATATGGATGACTTCCTAGCCTCCCCACCTCTGTGGTGATTTTCATCTCTACCAGCTGTTCTGGGTGCCCAAACTGACCTGCTTCCACTGCTGGGAAGGGATGAATGACTGCTTTTGCAGTTTCACTTTGCTTCCCCATCAGAAGTCACTTTTCTGCAGGGAAGCAAAGAAATCTTGTGGGGGCCATGAATTCTGTGCACATGCAGCAATGATGCAGAATTCACCCAGGATGTGCATATTTAAATTTTCCTCTCAAAGGATTAAATGATTTTTTCTGCTTTGCAGTGGGAATTATCCAATGCAGCCTTATAAAACAGGAGCAGCGTGTAGTGACTGCAATGGCGAAAAGTGTGTGACCACGCTCTGTGGTAAGTGCAAGGGAATCTGCTAAGGGTGTTCTATGGAAAGCAAAGATGAGTAATTGGCAGGGGAAATGTGGCAGATATTCAGGCTGCACAAGGCTAAATAAGCTATTAACATTATTAAGTCAGCTGGAGTACTTTTCCTAGAATTTTTACATCTGAATTCAGAACTGACATGGAGCAGAAAAGCCAACAATGAAGAACATCTATAATTTCCAAAAAATAGAAAAAAGTGGTCTGCTAGAGAGACCCTTACTGCTATGTAGCATCCCACTGAAGTCAGGAACCATCGTTAACATCTGTAGTATTTTCACTAAGTGCAGAGACACTTAAAGGACAAACTCCAATACAGAAAATAAAAATAGATATCTTCAGAATGAATATCCCAACTAACTAGGCTCACAGGTGCTCCAACCAAACAAATACCTAAAACTTTACATTTTTTGTTTCCTGACTGTGAAGTTCTGCTGGCAAGTTTTGCAGCCCATGGCATCTGATGTCACAGACTCATGCACCAAAGGATTACCAGAAACATTGTCACTGAGAGGGGGTGTCACTGAGAGGGGGGGTCAGGGCAGTGAGTCCCTTATGACCGGCTGAAGTTCTTTTAAATTGTGCTTGGTTCTGTTACAGCAACTGAAGGAGTCAGGTTAAAGCTTAAACAGTTACTATTTTATTGTTACAGAGTAAACTTAGTTGTTAAATGCTACTGCTGTGTTACAGATAACACAGCCACTACAAAGGACAGGACAGAAATTACACTAATAAGTTACTTACAGGTACCATGAAACCCTTTTGGTTCTCTGAGCTCTTATTAAATGCATGCAAAATAGACACATAGCAGGTATATTCTCACCCCTGCGTTCCAGACTTGGCGTGGCCAGCGTCTTTCTCTCAATCCCTCGGGAAGAAGTTGGGCGTCCCACAGACCTCGGGAGACAATCAATCCCTGCCAGCAGGTATAGATGATTGGAGCTCAAATGGGGTGGGCTGCTGAACATCTTTTATACTCCCTGGGTCATGTAGGCTTCTTCCTGGGCTCAAATGGCCAATTAGGAAAAATGGCTTTGAATGCCAAGTTTCCCACGAAGGGTGCAAAGCATAATTTACACCTGGGAAAATGCAGACAATGGGCACCTCTGGTATGTGATGGGCGAAGATTCCTCTCCTGGGACAGTGCAGGCGTGTCAATTACTGGTACTAGCCATCAGGGCGACGGGAGGCCCCGGGTCGTCAGCTAGCCCATTTACTGTCTGGGTTCTGTTTATGGTAGAGTCAGGGACAGGCAGCACACCTGCGTTCCCAGGGCATCAAAGGCTGACTGCCTTTCTCTTGCTCTCTGGGGGGGGGAACAAGATGGGGTTCATGGAAAAACAAGATGGGGTTTGTGTCTGGCTACAGGGGGGTAAAAAGAATTTTCAAATGTTTAAGGCTAGCTCCTGCAAATATATCCATCTGTGCTGTTCTGATCTGGCATGTGACTGATTTCCATGGGACTTAGCCATTAATGAATTTTCTTTCTGTATTATATGCTTTCCCCATCCAGCCCAGTGAGGAAGTTCACACAAATGTTTGTGCTAATTGCACTTTTAAAAACTCTTTGAAAACAATAAATCCCACTTTTTATATTTACAGTTTCCCTCATCTCTGTTATACCAACTTTATTTACTGTATCTACCTTTTTTAAAAAATCAATTGACAAAAAAAAAAAATCAGTGCCAAATTTTTGCACTGTCAGCTGGGGATGCAGGTTTTGTTGACACAGGTCATTTTTTTGGTCATTTGGAAATCTACCTGAAGTGTGAGTTCAGTCAACAAGTTATACATCTAAATGGTATTTGCCACTTCTTGCTTTTCTCTTGTGCCTTTCACATTATGGGTCACTTTATATGATTTGCTGAATGAACTGGCTCAAGTACTTTGGCTTCAAGTAATTATGACTAAATTCTAACTCAACTAGTCTCTGTAGAAATCTGCAATTTTTTATCTTAATACTTTAAACACCCTTATAAAATAGAAGCAAATCCTGCCCAGGAAGGAAGAAAACACAAACCCTAGACTGTCATTCATAATAGCAGCAGCACCAATGGGCTATCCATTTTTCATTAATAAAATAAAGCTGAACACTGGAATAAATTGCTCAGGGAGGTTGTGGAATCTCCATCTCTGGAGATATTTAAGAGCAGGTTAGATAGATATCTATCAGGGATGGTAGACTGTACTTGGTCCTGCCATGAGGGCAGGGGACTGGACTCAATGACCTCTCAAGGTCCCTTCCAGTTCTAGTATTCTATGATTCTATGATTCAATGACAGCCATATTAACATTTTTCTCATCTCCCACCAGAAAATCCAGAACGTGAGAAATTAACAAGTATGTATCCCAGTCACACATTGTTAACTGAATTATGTAGTTTTCTATGTCACATGACTTGATAAATACATTTTTGTTTTCTAGGTTACTCCAGTTGGCATCCAGACTGGGACACACCCCCACAGCCAGGCCGCCCCGGTGCCCCACAACTTAGCTCTCCACGCTCCTCGTGTGACCAATACTGTATTATTGTTTTAATAGTAAGGTTACTGTTTGTGTTACTGATTTTTGGTGCTGTCCTACTAGTTCAATGGCAGTATCCCCAAATATTTATATATGAGTAATCTATTTGCCTCCTATTGTCAGTGTACATAGGCATTAGTACCAGCCAATTTTCCCAGGATGCTCATGGTTGTTTGGGACAAGGAGCAGGAGAGAGTGTTAACTATTCAATCGAAACCATACATTGCACCACTGGCGTACCTGCACTGTGCACCACTGGCATAACTTATAGTATTCCATTCTTTTCCCTAAGAAGCACCTTAGAAGAGAAGGTCTGAAGGTGACATTTCACTGTAGCTGCCTTTGCCTAAGACTCACTATTGTCAAGTAGAAACAAAATACAGGACTATGTAGCACTTTAAAGACTGACAAGATGGTTTATTAGATGATGAGCTTTTGTGGGCCAGACCCACTTCCTCAGATCAAATAGGGGAAGAAAATTGTCACAACCATATATACCAAAGGATACAATTTAAAAAAATGAACACATATGAAAAGGACAAATCAAATTTCAGAACAGAAGGGGGATGTGGGGATGGGGAAGGTAAATGTCTGTGAGCTAATGGTATTAGAAGTGATAATTGGAGAAGCTATCTTTGTAATGGGTGAGATAGCTAGGGTCTTTGTTGAGTCCCCCGCGTAGAGTGTCGAATTTTAGCATGAATGACAGTTCAGAGTATTCCCTTTCAAGTGCAGATTTAAAAGGCTTCTGAAGCAGGATGTAGGTAATTAAGTCGTTGAGACAGTGTCCTTTCTGGTTAAAATGGCAAGAAGCTGTTTTTTCTTTGTGATCCTGTCTAATATCTGTTTTGTGGGCATTGATCCTTTGGCGAAGTGTCTGAGACGTTTGTCCAATGTACAAAGCAGACGGACACTTTTGGCACATGATAGCATAATTATATTTCTGGATGCGCAGGAATATGTGTTCTTGATCTTATAAGTCACTTGGTTAGGTCCAATAATGGTATCAGCAGAGTGAATATGTGGACAAAGATGGCAACGGGGTTTGTTGCCAGGGAAGGTACAAGGGTTGGTATTAGTGTGGTATGTCCTGTGGTTGTTGGTAAGAATCATCTTGAGGTTAGGTGGTTATCTATAGGAGACTATGGGTCTGTCTCCCAGACCCACAAAACAGATATTAGACAGGATCACAAAGAAAAAACAGGAAAGTGTCCGTCTGCTTTGTACATTGGACAAACGTCTCAGACACTTCGCCAAAGGATCAATGCCCACACAACAGATATTAGACAGGATCACAAAGAAAAAACAGTTTCTTGCCATTTCAACCAGAAAGGACACTGTCTCAACGACTTAATTACCTGCATCCTGCTTCAGAAGCCTTTTAAATCTGCACTTGAAAGGGAATCCTCTGAACTGTCATTCATGCTAAAATTCGACACTCTACGCAGGGGGCTCAACAAAGATTCTAGCTATCTTACCCATTACAAAGATAGCTTCCCCAATTATCACCTCTAATACCATTAGCTCACAGACATTTACTTCCCCCCGCACCCCGCATTTCCCTTCTGTTCTGAAATTTGATTTGTCCTTTTCATACGTGTTCTTTTTTTTTAATTGTATCCTTTGGTATATATGGTTGTGACTATTTTCTTCCCCTATTTGATCTGAGGAAGTGGGTCTGGCCCACAAAAGCTCATCATCTAATAAACCATCTTGTTAGTCTTTAAAGTGCTGCATAGTCCTGTATTTTGCTTCAGCTACACAAGACTAACATGGCTACATTTCTAAGACTATTGTCAAGTAATGATCTTCCATACACTTCATGAGACTCGCACTAAACAGCTTCCCTAAAGAAGTCAGCAAGGAGCCCCATTCCAGCAACAGCAGACTGTGTGTAATGTCCTATAGCTTATATAATCATCTAGTCTCCTATTTTGTCTTATATCTAGACATTATAAACACACACACACACATTTTTTGATGACCGAGTGACTCTGGGGAAATAGAATACTGAGCCTTTCTGCTTCACATCCAGAGCAAGTGAGTGAGAACTGAAAGTTTGTATCAATTAAATGACTGTTTGGTGGCCAAGGTAGAATGAATTTGTTAGGTCTCAGTCCAATTCCAGGAGGAAAAGTAGATTGAGGATCTACATGTATAATTATAACATACTAAGTGTGTGCCATACTCCCTTAACTATAACTCCAAAGATGCAGTTCAAAGTTTTCTTGGCTTCATCCTGAGATGGGTTATAGAATCATGAGAACTCCTTTCTTACTTTCTATTTCCTTTTCCTCTGTCATCAACCTGTTTTTCTCTACATAAGATTTTAATAAGTGTCTGTCCTACCTCTATGTCAGCACTGCCATAAGGCTCTTGTCTTGCTCACTTGGCAGCCTCTAGTCTACTCGGTCACTCTGGACCTAATGCTGCTTCAGCACAAGGGCATAAGTGACATTGCAGCAGAGGTAGATCAGAGAGAGGCCTTAAAAGATGGGCCTTAATACCAATGGGTTGGATTTGACATTAAAGTGGCAACTAGCTTGAATTAAAATACCCCCCTGCCCTTCGTGCTTCTAGTTGAGGGGGGAGGGTGGCACGGAAAAAGCAAAAGTATCTATTTAACACATAAACACTATGGCTATGTCTGCACTGGCAGCTTCTTGTACAAGAACAGCTCTTCTTGCGCAAAAACTTGCCAGGTATCTACACTGCAAGCGCGTTCTTGCACAAATAAATTTACAGTACAATGTCGGAAAACAGGGCTTCTTCTAGAAGAGTTATTCCTCTCCCCACGAGGAATAAGCCCTCTTGCACAAGAGCTCTTGCAAAAGAAGGCAGTGTAGACAGGCAACATGATTTTTTTGTGCAAGAAACCCCTATGGCTAAAATGGCCATCAGCGCTTTCTTGAGCAAGAGAGCGTTCACCCTGCCATAGATGCTCTTGCGCAAAAGCACATGCTAGTGTAGACGCGCTCTTGTGGAAGACATTTTGCACAAGAACTCTTCCGCAAAACAGTTCTTGCGCAAGAAGCTGCCAGTGTAGACATAGACACTTACATACCGAATGTGCTATATGTGATTTGACTTACCTAAAACGACCACACTGTAAGCCCAGTACTCTGATGTGATACCAGACTAAACTTAATTGTCTTATCACTCTGGCAGCAGCCCATACCCAAAATTTTTATAGAAAAATAGCCCATAATGCACCTGGCTCATCATGCAATGCTTTATCCCAGGAGAAAAATTCTTCCCCCTGCCCTCCCCCACAGACAATCAGAGGTTTGGCTATACTTCTCATGCTGAGTTGTAGAGAAAGTATTCTCGGGGATCATAAAATTAATGATAGTCAATATTGCCCTCCTTTGAAAATACAGATACACTTAAAGCATTGTTCAGTTAACTGTCTGCAGCAGGAAAATGCAGAGTTGGATATTACCCTGAATAAAAGAATATTTCTTTTTTGTGTCTGTAAATTGATATTTCCACAGTCAGAGAGTAAACCAAGGTCATGGTGATATTTTTTAAATCAAGAATGGTTGTTTTAGTAAAGGATATGTTCTGGGAATTATTTTGGGGCGTTCTATTGCCTGTGATATATGAAAGGTCCGGGTGGATAGTCACGATGATCTCTTCAGACATTGGACTCTATGAATGCATTTAAACTACTCAGGAATCAGACAGCTATAACACAGTTTAGTTACATTAGTATATATACTATATATTTGAGAAAGTTTGTCTGTGTATCCATTTGTTTGTTCAAGAACCCCTCCTAAATGGTAAGAGCTAGGACCACCAAATTTGGTGTGCAGATACCTCTTATCATAACTGAAAGCAAGGTATAGGTTGGTTGTGTCAGAAATGGTATTGCTTCTCATAAATCTCAGAATGACCAGAGAGGTGAAGGGGGCTGGCTAGAGGTGTCTTCCCATCCAGGACTGCCCCAACTCCAAGGCTCCCATCCCCATAGTGCACCTTTAGGTAAGGTGGGAGACTGAAGCTCCCTCTCTTCCTTCCTCCCCTTGATTTTTACGGGAGAATTGCTGGCTGTTCCGCTTCATCAGGGAGCGAGGAAAAAGTGAACAGCTTACTGCACTCCTCACTCTGGCTGAGGAGCACAGGTGACAGATTAACCTGGACCTGCCCCAGCCAGGGGTCATGCACCCCTCCCCCAGCTGTGCCCGGTGAAATGGTAGCTGTTATGGAGAGGTGCCCAGCTGATCCCAGGGTCCATGTTGCAAATCCTCTTCTAAGTGCCGCTCCGGTGCTTCAAAGGGGCTTTGCAACAGTGGAGCCAGGGATCAGCTGGAGTCTCTAGCTGATCCCCAGCTCCTCATGCGCTGCCCCTTTAAAGCGCTGTCAAAGTCAGACTCAGGACTCACAAATTTGTCAGACTACTCTGTTTATTAGCAAAGCCGCTCTGCTAATACACCCAGAAAATGTGAGCACCATACAAGACTCAGACCCCTTGATTTATACAGACAAAAGAAAGCAAAATTAACAAGATTACAAAAGGGGGCAAAACTCACGATTCCCATGAGATTAGTCACATATCTTCATTTCCATATCAAGCCTCAGCAAATTCCTGTCCATATCTCGCTGGTTATCTCAATTACTTTCTGTTTAACACCTAATGTTCCTTTTCCTGTTATCCCAGACACACCTGGCTCCACTCTGATCCATCCTGCATACCTACAAACAACATTAACATAATTTCTCTTTCCTGTTCAGGGACAAACAGTATTCCTTGAATTTATTCTATTATTACAGTATAATTAATCTTTCTCTTACAATATGATTCTTTCTACTTTCACAGCACCAAAATGGCACTTCACAGGGGCAGTGTAAGTGGAGCTGGGGATCAGCTGGAGTGCCTAGCTGATCCCTAGCTCCATGTTGTAAAGCCCCTTTAAAGCGTCGGCGTGGCACTTCAAAGGGGCAGCGCAGCATTATTGCCTGTGATTAACGCATTAAAAAAATTAATGCGTTAATCCTGTCCTGTGCTAATCACAGGTGTTAACACAGGTCAATTGACAGCCCTAATATATAGTATTTTCTTCTTTTCCCTGCCAGATATTTTGCCTCTTATAGCACCGTCTTCCTTGACAGGTAGTATCATTATCCTCAGAAGAGCTTCAGAGAAAGAGATAATTATTTTACTGAGGAGTATGTGAGAGTATATAACAATGGGGAAGCAGCCTTCATTGGCCTGCATGTTGGATATATATAACAGAGGTGAAAGTAAGAAGGTGCATCCTGGTGCACAGCTCTGGCAAGAGCTGGCTGAGCTCTGGCAAAAGTCTGAAGGGAGCTATTTAAAGAGCTGGCAATGACCCAACTTCCAGTAGGACAGTACCTGTAAGAAATTTTAAGTTACTTTCACCCCTGATATGTACAGATTTGAAAACTGTTGCACTGCTGTTAGTAAATAGCAAAACAGGAAGTTTAACTTTAGGGTGTGAGATAGATCACTGAAAGCCTGGCAATTCAAAATAGAAAGATGACTATGTCTACATTACAACGATCTATTGGAAAAGGTACGCAAATTGCGTACCTTTTTCCAATAGATTTTTCAGAAGAGGCTTTTCCGAAATTTGGCCCATCTACACGGTGCCAAATTTTGGAAAAACCTCCTCTTTTGGAAGAGCCCGTCTTCTTTGTGAGAGGAGGAAGACAGGGCTTCCAAAAGAGTGCATCTGCTCTTCCACAAAAAAAAGCTGAAGAGCAGACGTGTTCCCTGGACGTGGCAGAGTTTTTCTGGGATACCTCTGGTATCCCGGAAAAACTCCATAGTGTAGACATAGCCTACTTTCAACCTTGAGGAAAGAGGAATAGAGTGAGGTGGAGAAAGTGAGCTAAGAGGAAGAGTCTATCCTGGAGAGCAGACCTTAACATTTTTGGGGAAGACTTAAAGTTGGAATGAATTCACACCTCTTCTCCCACCATTTACACTTAATGTACCCTGTCCACTAATTAGCCTGTTCACACACCTGGATACAAAACAGCGAAGAGATTTGAAAATTATGTTTGTATACATAAGCCCCTTTTCAATGGTTAATTTGCCAGTTTAAGAAAAGTATATACAAAAAGGGACTCTTTACCTTAGAAACCGAAAAATAAACCCATTCATTTTTACAATACTTTGTTTTAGCAGCTGAAATTCTTCAAGTGTTCTCGTGTGTTCTACTTCTAGTGCACATGCTCCCAGTAGGCTGGAGATTGGAACATTTTAGCCAACCATGTCCACCAGACCATGACTATGCCCTTCCTACTCTTGCATCTCCCATCCAAGGGCATAAAGGGGGCAAAGCAACTAGCCAACCCTCAGTTCCATCTTACACCTGGCTGTGAAATGGAGCCAGTTAGCAATACCCATGTTCTAGCACTTGCAGTTCTTACCATGTAGGGTTTTTTAAAATTAGTTGATAGTCTTGTGTAAATTCAGTTTGAATTAAGGTGAACGTTTTTCCTTCATTCCTTCACCCAGTACCAGGAGTTAGCTCCACATGGGGCCGGAAGTCTCCCAGGCATAAGTATTGTTCATTGTCTGAGGTGGTTACTCCTCAACAAGGAACGTTCAACTTGTCTATATTCCTGGGATAGGGGCATGATAAGGACAAATGAAATTCTTGTAGAGAATTTACTGAAAGAACTAGCATCCATGGATATAACAAATTAAAATATTATCTCCTGAACAAATAAATGAGGCCTGCCTCAGAACCTGGAAGGAGGCAGGATCCAGCTAGTTCTCAGCACTTTTCAAATAAGTGCTCCCCAGCAGCTGCTTATACAGTCTCCAGGGTTGTTGCTGTGTCTAAAAATGATGCTCCTGCTACCTTGATGGGTGTTCCTTCATCTTGTTCTGGAGTAACAAATTAAAATATTATCTCCTGAACAAATAAATGAGGCCTGCCTCAGAACCTGGAAGGAGGCAGGATCCAGCTAGTTCTCAGCACTTTTCAAATAAGTGCTCCCCAGCAGCTGCTTATACAGTCTCCAGGGTTGTTGCTGTGTCTAAAAATGATGCTCCTGCTACC